AAAGATTGCGGGCCCCGTTTTGAGGCCATATGGTAAGACCGTGTACTGCATTTGCTCCGTGTAGGTTGAGAATGAGGTTTTGTGGCGATTGCCGTGCGCAATGGGGATGTGATGGTATCCCAAATGCAGGTTGAGGCAACAGAAGTAGGCGTTTTGGCGCCCTAGTGCGTCGAGGATGTCCTGAATGACTGGCATTGGATAGTTGTCCGCCAGCAAGACTTTGTTAATTTCCCGATAGTCTTCCACCAGGCGCCATTGCTTGATCACGGGGGCATTGGGATCGTCGTCTTTTGGTGTCAGGGAGGCCGGGGAGTTTACGGCTGGTTGTATGATACCCGCACAGGTGTAATTGTCTATGATGTGTTGGAACGCCGGCTGCTTGTCGGGCAAGAGCCTGATGCGGCGACTGGGTTTGGGATCCTCTCTGTTGGTGGGTAGCAATGCCACGTGCTGCGGGAAGAGCCTGTGTTTCCCGCTCCACTGGAAGATGTGAGGGGCAGAGCGCCGTAAGAGAGCCGTGATCTGTTGCTGCTCCGTGGGCGTGCCGTGGACGAATGTGATACCCTCGCCTATTGGCGCTTTCGGGGCTTTGTTAATTGGTTTAATTTGCTGGAAACCGGAAAAGACTTGCTGGCCGTCAAGAGTGACACAGAAGGGGAGATTCTTAAGCGTGTCGAGTCCAAGAATAACAGGATAGTGTGCGTTGGAGAGTAGCAAGAAGGTGGCTTTGTACGTGGCCGATCCAAGAGTAAAAACAGTACTCACTGCGTGACTGACGGTCGTGGAGACGTGGAGCACTGCCGCGGATATCCTAGCTTTGGTCGGGTGTGGGGACAGGCCGACTTCCTTGGCGACGTCCATCGCCATGAACGATTTTGTCGCTCCGGTGTCAATCAGGGCAGTCACCCGTTTGTCTTTGATCGTTATGATGATGGTCAGGCTGTCGTTGGTAGGCATGGGGATTGAGCAGAGGACAGCCGTCACTGCCCAATCTTCCCGTTTCCCGGACATGTGGCTGCCGTGTGTCCTGTATTTCCACATTGGACTCATTTAGTAGGTTGAATGGATTGTGCGGGGGTCGTATTCACCTGGTTGGCCGGGTTGTTCTGGCATTCCTCGGTTGAATGTGCAACCATGCGCCCCAGGTGAAAGGAGCAGCTTTGTAGCGGGCGCCCGTTAGCCGTTGTGGACGGCGTGGATGCTCATGAGCTTGCTCGCAACATTGTAAACTTGGCCGTGCTGTGAAAGACATACCGCTGGTGTTTATTGCAGTAGTACTTTGTGACGCCGGACGCCGTTGTTTTGGGCGGGCGGCTGGTGGGTGACTGCGGCGCCGGTGTTGCGGCCGGTTTTGGCGTGGCCCGGTGTGTTCGTCTGTATTCATTGGCGATGACCAGGCACTCGTCCCATGTGAGGGAGTGATCGGCTGTCGCCCGTGCGTGAAGTTGGGCGTGGAGCCCGCCGATGGTGATGGACAGGAGTTGTCTGATGAGGGCCTGCGTGATTGCGGTTTTGTGTTGCCCGACCTCGGTGGCTGGTAGGGCGAGGTATCTGAGGTATTCGTCGCGCAAGCGTGGCCCAAACTGCGAGAAGAGTTCGTCGGGCGCTGGGCGGAACTGCTGGAACCTGGTAAAATGTTTGAATGGTGAGAGTCCATAACTGGCTTTGAGTTTCTCCGCAATCACGTTGTAGTCCTTGAATCCTTGGTCATAGAGCAGTTGTGTTGCCTCTGCCACCTTTGGTTGGGAATGCCTGATGAGGCAGTCAACTTTCGTGAAGTTCGGCATTCCATCATGTTTGGAGGCGGTCTCCAGGCGGCGCAGATACATTTCAATACTTTTGTCCGGGGATTGGTGCGGGTAGTCGACGCGTCTGCGCAATAGCGATTGCGCTAGCAGCTCCGTGGACCCTGGTCCTGTCTGATAGTCCGGTGGCAAACTCAAGATGATGTTGAGTGGCGTTGCGCCTCTAGCCTGAAGCGCGATGATGAGCTCGTCGCGTGGTACTTCGTTGGCATTCCGTATGCCGTTTGCTATTGCGTACGTGCGTATGGCATTCAGCATCAGGAAATTCCATGGGTTGGCTGTTGCCCGTTGTTGCGATGACGCTACCGGTTGCGGCGACGCGTTTGCGTTGGATGGCCCTGGTTGGGGCTCGGTTTCGGTGCGGTCGCTGTTCATTGTGGGTCGTCGTTGATTGGCTGAGCCCCCAGTAAGATTTCTCCTCAGTAACTACAAGCCCACACTAGATGAAGGTAGACTCGGGAATGACTAGACACCAATATTTGAATACTGACGGTCTATTCACATAAGTACACTTTTGCACACAAATCAGAGATCCTCACTCTTTGGAGGTTCACGGTAGAATGAGGCTTGGCTTGCCTCTCACTATACAAGATGGCCGGCCGCTGGCGCGCGGGCCGTTGCGCCGGCGTACCCTGATTGGGTATGAGGTCAGAATGAAGCTCGTGTCAAATACGCGTTGTACTTGTCGTGCGGGACTAATGGCCGCTGGCCTTCACTAAATTCTCTCCGCGGTCTTAACGCTTTTTCGTTGTCACTCATGAATTTCGCGTTGGAGAGAGTGCACCTGTTATAGCGGTTTCATAAGGACACTTAAGTCTCTATATACACAGAAATGTCCCCATCGATTGGATCACATGAAATTCGATAACTTCACCTCGATTTTCATGAAAGCAAGCGATAGCGATAACGCCATTCAACTTTTTTTCCTCCATCCATGCAGTCTTCCCGCGGATAGGAGTGAAGAGTGTGCCTCAATGAATTTCAGCGTTTTTGAAGACATTTGAATCACGATTTCACAGAAATCTATACAAAAAACTCAAGCAATTCTGCCAGACAAGGGTATAGGACGATTTTCACCACAGCTCTCAGAGATCACGCACAGCATATCCGTACAGTATAACACAATCATGACTAAATAAACACCAATTCATATCAATCACACAAGAAAACGAGCTGACACTCGGCAATTTCACACCCACAGTTTCCGCATATGTAGCGGGCTTCAGCAAATCTGAGAGAGCAGTCCAGGAGTTGAACGCGGATTAACAGACAAAGGAACGCAATGCCACATCCGCGAACGGGTAATCCGTGGGAAGCATGACCCGGTACTGCATGACGTACATTGCCGTATTAGCATACACAGACTGATAATACCGTTTTGCATGATCTCCATCTCCGGCGAACAATCACAATTGCTCGAAAGGTAGTTCCACGAAAGTTGTTCAACATATTTCACTTCCTTGTAGGCTTTCATTGATCATATAAATAGTGAATAAATATCCACGGATATCGAATATAGGTTCGTATAGACAGGTTGTAAATGCCTCGTGTGGACTCTCTCCACAATGAAGTTCAAGGGACTGGACACAAATTCATTGTGGAGAGACTTTTGTTAGAGAGAACACATTTAACATGTTTGTGCGGGAGAGAACACCAGGTATATTGGACCAAAATTACAATTTTAAACATTGTAGACAGAGAAAGAGTCCACCTTGTACAGGGATATTTCAGGCCAGTATGGAGACCTGACCCATCACTTTCTTTTTAATTTTTCTAAACATTCATTCTATAGACATGGGAGGCATGTGTGTTTATTGCTTTAAAATTCAACAGTATCATCTGAATACCTTGTTGAAAGTATTTTTAATGGGATGTAGAGCTTTAATAACATTCATACAGCCTAGCTGGCCAAGATGGTGAAGACTGCTTCTTCGCTGCCAATCACATGGAATTAACATCCAAAAGAAAGTTTTCTAAAAACAAAGGAATTTGCATGAGTGCGTGAAATGATATTCGGAAAAATGGGTGAAGGATCCAGTATGGTAATTCCAATCATCATTTAACGTTGAACAGGAATCTAGCCATTTATGCTTAATTTGTGAACCTGTCACAAATTGAATACTCCATTTTGAAGATTCATTTCTCTTCAGCATGCCTATATATCTCCTGTTTCAAATTAATTTGAATGTTTGACTCATGTGAATCTTGTCGGATGCCTGACTCATGTATGCTTTTTCTCTGGGAATTAACTTATAGCTGATTTGATGCATGTATCATGTTCTGAGGAGACGCCGAGTTCATCATTTTTGCTATTCAAAGCTGTTCATGTTTCAACCGCGTTGAAATTGTTTGCTTACTTATTTTTCATGTCAAAAATGTAAAACATGAGGCTCAGGCCATGAAATAAACCACAAGAAACGACACAAGAAGCTCATGGGTTATTGAACTGATGATTCTAATAATTGCGTTTACACCTTCTGTCAAACTATGCCAGTTAGAGTCAAGATTGGGTAAAAAAAACCATCAAGATCAACAGAGTTTTGAAGCCACAATTCACAATTTTGATGACTCTCAACCGTTGCTCGATCTGAGTGATGAACTACCGCTAGGTTCATGGCACTGTATTACGTATTTTTCCACATAAAACAAAAATCTTCCCCGGGGATCATTACTTCATCATTTGAAAGTTGTATACAGGAATCCTTTAAGAGGAGGAGAAAGAAGATATCAATAAGCTGTTCCTCATGAATAAATAAGTCTATTGTTCTTGCATCAATAACAGCCAGTTAACATCCAAATTATTTTTCAGGTTCCGTCAAAGATAAAAAATCATGCTTGGACACAAACATCAGCAAGATGAAAACAGGTGAAACGCTTCGATCCTTGCCTAAATCCATGCAGCCATTGATGAAATTCGAATTCAGCATTTTTGCATGAAAAAATGGGAAGAAAATTTTGCTTCATCTGCTTTTATTCTTTCCTTTTTTCAGAAATTGGTCCACTTTAAAGCGAGTCTATAAAAAAGCCCAAGAAAAACAGAGCGGAAGACCGAGGTTTCTGTGATCAGCCCGAACTACCCAATGTGTGAAAAGCAGGATCCGATTCGCCCGAGATTTTTCACTGTCCAAGTAATCCGACGTGATCATGGCTTCCGATCAACCTTCATTTTCCCATGTTACAAAGCAATGAAGGCAGCTAAGGTTGTTGCCGCAGCACCAACAGTTGCACCAGCTGCTCCAACAGCTGCTGAAGCAGCAGTGCCAAGTCCAGCAGCACCCGCACTCTGCGCAAGGGCAAAAACACTGCCTGCTGCGACGTTACCAATTCCAGCCTGCACCCCAGCAGCCATTGNGCAAAAACACTGCCTGCTGCGACGTTACCAATTCCAGCCTGCACCCCAGCAGCCATTGAACCAGCAGCTATTCCTTTGGCAGTGAATCCAACAGCAGCCAGTACGAGTGGAGCTCCGACTATGGCCAAACCACCAGTTCCCATAGCAGCGGCAGCAGCAATTGCAGAGAATGAGAGCAACCCCACTAAAAAAAAGAAGACAAACACATCATTCAAAGCACAGGTGGTACATGCAATTTGACCCTAATCCATGGCCAAATTGAGGTTGAATTACATAGCATTTGACTTGTGAGACACTTGAAGAAATAAAAAAAATCAGCACAAGAACTGCAAAAAAGTGGCCAAAGTGCAAAGCAAGGGTCTAATTGCAAGTCAACCTCCCTGCAAATTACTCGACCATTGAATTTTGGGAGGGTTGACTTGTGGCATTTGTGGGAGGTCAAATTGCAAGGTACCAAATGTACCTTGCAATAAACCACCCTGCACTTTGTCTGTCCGGCAATTAAGATCAAATTTCAGGGAGGTCAACTCAGAATTCCACAAGTACCCCATAATTCAACCAACAGAGATGTGCAAAAACATCAAATGTGATATAGGATACATTGCATTTGATGTTGCTTTGCAACTCAACAGCTGCACAATTTGACCCAAATCCAGCAACTGACTATATGGTACAAAGTACAGGGAACCTCCTGTACTTGTGAAATTTTAAGAATGCATAATTAAATCACTTTGTGAAGTGCCAGGAGGAGGGAATTTTCTTATCAGTGCAGATATAAATTATTTGTGAATTTTTCAGCTTCAAAATTTAATTCTGAATCCTCAAGTTTGGGATTTCTAGCTTTCTATACTCATAGGTTTGATAAATTCAGAAATAATTCTTAGGAATCGTGGGAAAGAAAATCGTTCACCCCTGAATATCGATACAGTATTTCACGGTTTCTGCACTATAAAACTAAATTTCATTCCAGCTTGAACTGCCGTTTAGCATTCAAAATTTATTTAATGTTATTCAAAATCACAGAAATGGGTCATCTTTCCAAATTGCCAAAATATTCCAATATCCGTCTAATTACGTGCAGTTAGCGAGGCGTGAAACTCACTGTTTCGTTTGTTGGCAGTTCTATACAGCCTGGCTCGAGTAGGATTTATATTTCAGATGATACCGCTTCGTGTTCAAAATGATGTGTTGCAAATATAGCACTTGACGAATGACCTGCAGAAAACTATGACCAGGAATGAATCTCCATCGAACCCACAATTCATTCGGGAAAATACCTTGAACCGGTTAATGGTTCACAATTGACCTTCATCTAAGACTCAACATCTTCAGAACAAGTCAGAAAAGGTGAAACTAAACGAAGGATGAACCATAGAAAATATTTCAATGTGAATGCTGGAAGAAAAGACATGAGACACATCGGTCAGAAGATGGGAATGCCCTAATCTGCATCACAGTTAAGATTGTTCAATATAGCACACACGTTTGCCGCACGTAAATCCATTTCCACACCTTGCACAAAATTCGCACAGAGCTCAGAATGTGAGGGGATGGAGTCTTTTATATCATTTGGGCGATTGTGTAATAATTGAACCGGCCCCATGCAGGATTCCGCTGGGGGTTTACATGGAAAACGGGTTTCCTACAGGAGTGTACAGCAATCCATCCTTCAAAGGAAAAAAAATGTTCATATGGTATGTTTTGTAGGGACTATCCAACTGCTAATTACTGAAATTACAGTCAATACATTTGTCCTGCCACATTTTGTGGGATTAAATGACTAAATCAGATGTCTTGTTCATTTATTAAGGGTGTCTACTCTACTGCAAGTGCAAAATAATCATAATTTACTTACAGAATTGACAGAATACAGCGTCAGTTTTATGAGAGAGAAATCAACAATAAATAATTTGTAGATTATATTTATTGTTCGTTGCATTCTAATGCATATGTTTTAGTTTATTTACTAAGGCAGAAAATGTTAGATTTTTACGCATATTGTGTCTGCACTAGAGGGGCAGAGCTGCTTTTCTTTTCAGTTCAGTTGCCATCAGCATTCAGAAAATGATGCAGAAAGTTTTGAGCAAAATTCACACCACATTTATAACCTTTCAATGGAGGAATGTATAAAAAAAAATTAGAATGTAAATTTAGAAAAAAATTAGAATGTAAATTTAAAAAAAATTAGAATGTAAATTTAAAAAAAAATTAGAATGTAAATTTATAGAAAATTTAGAATGTAAATTTTAAAAAAATTTAGAATGTAAATTTATAAAAAAAATTCAACCTGTAAATTTATAAAAAAATTTAGAATGTAAATTTAGAAAAAAGTTAGAATGTAAATTTAGAAAACAATTTAGACTGTAAATTTAGAAAAAAAAATTTTAAAATTTAAATTTAGAAAAAATTTAGAATGTAAATTTAGAAAAAATTAGTATGTAAAAAATTTAGAATGTAAATTTAGAAAAAACAAAGCAATTTTATTTGAACCTGATCATGCAATTTTCAGTAATAACCCAATGATTTTCTTAAAACCCTTGATTTCTATGATTTTGGTCCATGACAACACATTTTCATGACACATTGTGACTTGGCACTAAATCTTTGTTTCTCTCAGGTGAACAGAAAGGGCAGTTGTTTCATGGAAATTTTGGCACTAGGTGACAGCAGCATTAAGTTGGAAAATGCATTATACAAGTGGTCCCTTGCAATTGACATCCCACAATTTGACCCTCCTGCAATTTGATGGTCAAATTTTCTGGGACATTCACTTTCAATTTGATGTCTTGCACTGCTGAAATTCAACCTGCAGAGAGACTAAAAATGTCAAATTCAATGTAGAAACCATAAAATTTGACATATTGCCTTGAAATTCGACTGCTTTGCAATTTGACCCCCACCCAGCAAAAAATTAGGTTTGAATTGCAGGGCACCATCTGTAATGAGGTTGACTGTTTTGCCTCTTCCAAAAATGTGGCTTTCCTTGAAGCAATTCATGTTCTAACCTAACCTAATAAACTAGCCTAACCTTGCCAAACTGAACTCAAGAAATAAATTTTTGAATGCAAGAGAAAAGTAAAAACCATTCGATTTGTGTCTGCAAATCTAAATTTCGGAAAAGTTCAGGGCCTAAAAAAGAACATGTCCCCAATAAAGAAAGGATGAAAAATATCACAGGCACCGCTGGAGGGGAGAAGAAAGAACCTGAAACTCGGAACAGAAAACCAGGTCTGAACACGGGGTTTCACCATTAATATCGGGGCAAGTGGAAGTTGGATTAAAAACTTAAAATCCATCTTTCCCAATAACAGGACAGGCCTGTCATGGAAGCAGATCATTCTTGCAGTTTTTCAAGGGTGACTGGATTCTTTTGAATATCCAAGGCCATAAGGTGATCAGCGAGTCGGTAAAAATCAACTATAAAAAACCCAGCAATATACGCACAATATGCTGCTATAGGTTGGAAAATTGAACACTGTACGCATTTTTCGCAGTAATATTTAATGGGCGTTGGCGTTCGCTGTAAGTATTTACTTATAATATCAAGTGATGTATAAATAGGCGTTTTACGAAATAAGGACAATAAAACAGAGTGATGGAGAAACCAGAATATTAATGCTCTTTGTGTTTTGACAGGAACTCACTTCTTTCAGTGGCAGTTGGATATGCAGTAATCAACCTTACCTCACTGAGGAGTGAGGACATAGCAAATCTATCATCACTGTAGTTGAGATTCATGAATGGCGAAGTTTTTAAACTCTCTCATCTAAGCGGAAAGTGCAGTCCAAGCTTCATATATGTGGGGAATAAGGATTATATCATTTAAAAAAATGGAAGCTTTGATGTGAATAATAATTGTTTCACATTACAGTTGGGCTCCGCCTTTGAGCCCTAAATTTAAGCTGCATCTTGTTTCGTTATGAATCACTTGAAATGGATAAACTGTTCAAATTTCCAAACACCGCCAAAACGCAGCTTTAGCAAGACATTCACAAGTGGATTCTCTTCACATGAATCTTGTGTTCAAGAATTGTTATGCATAATGATTTTTTTGGTTGGTCCATATAAGAGTTTACTCCATCATATGTTATAGTGGTTCTCTGCAACAGAATGTTTGCTACAAGTTATTTTTTTCTGGTCCCTTAAATTTTGTTGTGGAGTCCTCCAGACCACCTGTTACTGCGTGTAAAGCATTTTAAAATACAGTATATTATTCGAAATGTTATGTGGCATCAAGTTATTTCAAATTACAGTAAGCCTCCTATTTCTCAGTCAAACATTAATGGACCAACAAAATTTGAAAATTTGGAAGGTTTGGAGCAATTAGTGAAAATCAACCATTCTTGTTAGGGAAGAAAAACCCATATGTCAAGGGTCATCCAAGCAAATACTTCTCACAAAAATTTCCTTTTATGTATATTTAAAAGAATGTGTGGCCATCCGGACTTCCGATTGGCGTCAACTAGTTGCTGACAAGTTATCCCATGAGTTGGAAATAACATCTTTCACTCCCAGCAGTGAAGGCGCACATATTAGGTAAATGTATCCATATTCCGATAAAAAGTTTTCTTCGAGGAGTAAAAAGTTGAAAAAAAATTGAAATTAATGTTCTGAACCTCTTGAAACTCAGACAAGTTATCGATTATTAATAATACTGATAACTCGACCGTATTGCTGAACAGCCAAACTTGATCACAAATCAACTATCAATGGTATGCCTGTAATATCCACTGATATTATCAAACATGTATAAAATCAACTGCAAAGTTTCCGGAAGCATACACTGAAAATCCCATTAATGCCGATAAAATTAACGCAGATTTAATTAATGAACGGGAATTAATTCTAGCACAGCTCGATGATTCTTCAATTATACAACGTATTTTTACATCTTAAACAGAAGAATCTTCCTCGGAAATCATCAAAATTTCAATACAGGAATGTTATTTTAATTAAGAGAAAGAGGGTATCAATAAGCTTCCCCATGGGGAGAAGTCCTTTCTTCTTCCATTAACGCCAAAATTATTTTCTGTTTCCGTCCCATGTCTAAAAATAAATCTTATAAATTCGGAAATTTGCGAGTTGAAGCTAGGTGAACGCTTCCTCGACTAATTCCAGCAAATCATGAAATTTGAAATTCGCATATTTTGAACCAAAAAAAAAGACACTTCCGTGTCTTCTGCATTTATTCTCTCGTTCAATCATGGCAACATTCTTTGAGGCGATTATTACGCTTCTGATCCACCTTCATTTTTGAATGTCACACAAGAAAGGCAGCTACAGCATCAGACTTGTCGCTGCACTAATAGCTGCACCAGCTCCTCCAACAGCTGCTGCGTGGCAGCAGTGCCAAGTCCACCAGCACCTGCACTCTGCGCAAGTGCAAAAGCACTGCCTTCTGCAGAATTGCAGAATGCACCCCAGCGGCAATCGAACCAGCAAGTACTCCACCAGCACCGAATCCTACAGCAGCCAGAGTAGCTGGAGCTGTGATTATAGCCAAGGCACCACCTCCGAGGCCAATTGCGGCGCAAGCGAGGAAATCCACTGCAAAATAACATTTTATGAACGCATGTTCAGTACTGCAGCAATACCATGAAATCCTCGTTGAGCTGATGAAAAAATCTAAAATAATTTATTTAATCGAACAATTTTGGGACTCGACAACTTTTTCCTACACTCGAATTATCAGCGATCTATACATCAGGGATTATCAAAAATTCCTGCATGAACGACCTGCGGATTGCACCCAGTCCGCAAATGCATCAGCAATGAAATGAGACAAAAAACTGATATTCAAAAGATAGAAAACCCCAAAAAGCGAAAATTTAAGGTGTGAAAGGAGTATAGCTTTATATTGAAGATTGTTCCGAAATTGTTTAGGAGCAGAAAGCTGATGCGTTCGCAGCTTTCAATATATACTGTTACTGCACTTGACCGAGTCTTGAAAGTTCAATTATTGTGAATTGTACAATAAAGACGAATTTATTCTACTCTTCCATACTGATTTTCTAGGTTTCTGTAATTAATAATGAAAATTGAATGTTTTTCCGATGCGAACTTCCATTTCAAATATATTTTAGCAAGTTAATCGAAAAAGGGGGCTACAAAATCACAGGATTGAATCACGTTTCTATTGACAAAATCTTTTAAATAACCGTGAAGTCAAGCACATTTCACATAAGACTTACTTTTTGTAGTCGCAGATCTACTGCACTTCAGGTTCCACCCGGGTTTTTCTTTGGAAGACACCACTTTTTCAAAATGAGGGTTGTATTGCACTTGACCAAATGACCTGCGGAAAAATGTAACCAGAAATGTAAAATGACCGAACGGTTTGTGCATAAAACTCTTCAGAATAAAATCTTCAATGCATGCCACAGAGAAATGAAACTGCAGGTTAAGGTACTATGTGATATAATCCAACGTGGGCCCCACTGGAAGGAACAAACTCATGGCTATTGATCTGCATCACAGCTTGAAATATTCAGAAAAACATTCAGTATAACCGACAATAACAAGAAAGCTTCCACGCCTTGCAGAACATTCGCGGAGGGTTCTGAAGGTCCAGAAATGGTGTCTTCTATTTATATCATCTCGGCGATTGCGCAATTGAGTTGGAGACAGGATTCTGCTGTGGTTTAGTAAGGGCTCCGCCTTACACACAGACGCGACATCTAGTGGGGAACTCGCGTACGCGCGACAATGTGCCCACTCGCGAAGCGCTTATCAGGCAGGAGATCTGGGGGAGCATCGGAAGGAGCTGGGGGTCGAGTGATTATTGCGGCAGATCGTTATGAGCTCTTGGCTTCTTATCATCTTATTTGTGACTTACCTCATCTGTTAAATGTGTGCACTGAGAAGAATTAAATGACTTGTGTTTTGAGATGTGGGTCGAGGTCATTCCTCCAGTCAAAACCTTATTGGGGGCTCTGAGCCTTCCATAGTTAACGATCGACCTCACATCACACGCCAGTGCCTGCTATGCTGAGAACGACGGAGAACTCAAAAGCCGCAGCTGGCAGCCCTTGTTGAGCTGGCAACCGTTCCAGAGGACGACAATGAGTTCCTCGACATGGACCCGCCACTGCCAACCGAAGCCCCATCCCGCTCCCAAAATTTGGAGATGTCAATGTCCAGCGTCTGGGAGAACCTTCCGCTTTCAACTCTACAGATGCTCGCAGATGCCTTCCATCTTGGGCATCCAACACCTCCAGATAAGTCCGAGTACGCTGCGCAACTGGAGCGTTTTCAAATCCCAGTGACTGCTGTGCAAACTCTTTCAAGGGGCAACAATCTCAGTGTGATTCCGAGGAGACCGTACCTGGAGGATGACGACGAGCGCACCTTTCAACTCGTAAGCCACTGTGGCTCAGCAAACTCCAAACACCGCAGCTCCCAAAGCAGAGATCCGAGGAGGATTTTGAGGACTTTGTCCTTCGCTTGAGGAACACGCTGGCCGTCAGGAAGGTTTCTGACAACCACTGTGTCTATTGCTTGCTCAACAACACCCTGACGCAGATCCAGATGACTGCAAACCACATCTATCAACGTGGCATCAGCAACTTCGATCAGCTGGTGCAGGCCATTGCCTGGCGACACCCAACACCTCATCTTGACCGACTCAAGAGGTTTTGGACAATGAAACCCAGCGATGGGGAGAGCTTCTTCAACTTTGGTGAGAGGCTGCGTGACGAATACGAAGCATATCTGCAGATGAAGGCCGACGAGATGATCAATGGTGAGGCCCTCATCCAACATGTGCTCAAGGACCAGCTGTTTAACATCGCTGAAGCGGGGCTCAAGGATGAGCTCCGCAGAAAATGGACCCGTAATCGCCTGCTGACCTGGGATGAGATTGTCGACATTGCTGAAGCATATCGCCTCAACAGTCAGCCAGCATCAACTGGATCAGCATCCGCCAAAACCGGTTCCAGACCTTGCCAACAGGATTTACCGCCAAGACAATGGTGTGACCATCACAAAAGAATGGCACGCCACAGCTCGCAGGATTGCCGGCTACGCCTTTGTCACGGAGGGCAATCCAGTTCGACAACAACAGAAGCAGCGGCTTGCCCATCCGCTGGTGCATCTAACGTGGCAGCCTCGCGTGGCACAACTTCTGATGACGCAAATGTAACTTGCTTTCATTGTCATCAGCTTGAACATAGACTCCGCGCGTGTCCGCAGCTTTTGGGAAACGCGACGTCATCTCAGTGAATGCGGCGCACTGTTGGATGACGACTTTACCCGCCGCTCCACCCCTGATTTTGCTCCAGATCTCTCTTGCTGGTTGTTCAGTATCCGCGCTCCTTGATACGGGCGCGTCGCATTCTTTTGTTTCCAAATCACTGGTGCATCAACTTGCCTTGCTGTCGCAATCTCTATGTGCAATGCTTGGGACTGCCCTGGGACCAGAGGCGGTGCCAGTATCGCGGATGGTTGAAACCCCATTTTTGTTTCAGGGCACTACCCATCAGGGCGCATTTTTAGTCCTCCCGGGCATGCGCGAATTCCCAGTCATCCTGGGTCAAACTCTTCTTTTACAGCTTCCATTAGCTATCACCCTGAATGGGAAGCGCGTCTTTACGGGGTTCCATGAGGTCACCCGCGCACCATCTGCTCCCACATTGTCCGTCGGCAAGGGCATTTCCTTTGTTGATGGATCACCGTCCGAGCGTGCCCGTGTTTCCCACATCCTGCAGCAGCATGCTCCTCTTTTCCGCCAATGGTCAGGAAGATGGGGCCTCTTTGCCGACTACGTAGTCCGCATCCCAACGGTTGAGGCCTCTCCTCCCGCCACCAGTCAATATCATCACTCTATTGGACGTAATATACCCTTTTCTGAAATCATTGACCTTTACCTTGCAGCAGGCATTTTAGAACCCGCAGCCTTGCTGTACAATGCACCAGCTTTCCTTGTGGACAAGAAGTGCACCGACCCGGCAGCCCCGGCGGAGAAACGGTTTTGTTTGGTTGAAGACTATTTGGAACTGAACAAGCTGATCATTCCAGACCATTATCCCATGCCCACCGTACAGGATCTTTTGGAGGCATTGGGGCAGAAAAATCAGTTCTTCTGCACCCTGGACTTGCACGCCGGGTACCACCATCTTCCCATCGCGCAGGAAGATCAACCGAAAACAGCCTTCATGTCCCCGCGGGGACAGGTGCAGTACAAGGTACTTCCCTTTGGTCTAAAGACAGGGCCGGCCATGTTTCAGGGCACTATTAATACCATTTTGCGCCCTTTTCTGTTCAAACGATGCCTGGCATATGTAGATGATGTGATTGTTTTTGGGGAAACCTTCGAGATATTGTGTGACAATTTAAAAGTGGTATTGCAGACATTACAGGATGCGGGGGCATGTGTGGACATAGTAAAGTCTTCCTTTTTAGCTCACAAAACCCTCTTTCTGGGCTACAAAGTGGATCAGACGGGGAGCAGACCAGCTGAATGGAACGTGGATGCAGTCCTCAAGTACCCTCAACCGGAAACCCGCCGCCAAATGCAGCAGTTCCTAGGCATGGCAACCTACCTGCGCGCACACCTTCTGACAAATTTTGCAGACGCCGAAAAAGCATTGCGCAGGACTATTCCACCGAAACCAGCTACACAGCTGACATGGTCTCCGGAAGCTCTTGAAGCTTTCCAGCATATTAAAAACGTCCTAGCAGATATGGCACGGCTGGAGAGGGTGGACCCCAACTGGCCTATTGCGGTTCACTGTGATGCCTCGGCAATTTCTTTGGGGGCAGTTCTAGTTCAAACGGATCCTGAAGGTAACGAGCGCGTGATTGAGTATGCTAGCAGAATGCTTAAAGACGCTGAGACCCGGTATTCTAACACGGAACGCGAATTGTTGGCTATTGTTTGGAGTGTAACAAAAAAATTTTGCCACCATCTTGTTTACAGGCGGTTCCAGGTTTTTACGGATCACAAAGCCTTGCTTGGAAAATTGCAATCCGTGACTTTTGATCTTGAGAATGGTCACAGACCAGGACATTCCCTGCAGGCTCCTGATGCCTTAAGCCGGATATCTGTGAATAATGCCTCGGCATGCTTACAACCCACTGAGGAGGAGCGGATCAAGATCATTGATGCCTATCATCAGGAGCTGGGCCATCCCGGCTGGAAGAAAGTGTATGCAACTCTCCGAGAGCAATTCTTCTGGTCAAAAATGCGGCAGGATGTGTGGAAGCGCATCCTGGCTTGTGAGCTCTGTTTTCCCTACAACCAACCTACCCAGACAATCTGGGTACACAAGAGTGCAGTGGAGCCCAATTGACCGCGTGAACGCCTTGTGTTGGATTTTTATGGTCCGCTCCCCAAATCCGAGGAAAACTTCCATTATGCAATCATAGCAGTAGACCACTATAGTAAGTACATGATTGCTCAACCAATTGTGTCTGCTGACTCCAAAACAGTAATCCCTTTTCTTGCCGAGTTATTTCGCCAAGTTGGACTGTTCAAAATTGTACATTCTGATTGTGATTCTGTGTTTTCAGGTAATGCGTTTAAACATTTTCTTAAAGCTTGTGACATCCAACAGCATTTAGCACAAGCCACACATCCCGAAGGTAACGGGTGTTGTGAGAGGTCCATCAAGACCTTGACGCAGATACAGGCCAAAGCAGTCAAGGGGGACAACCCAACCTGGGCAAAGCACCTATCCCTGCTTCGGTACTGGCATACAACAGCACCATTCATTCAGCCACTGGGGTCACCCCCACCAAGGCTATGTTTGGGAGGTGAACAATTCTGGAAGCAGACAGAAAGTTTGGTGCGGTACCTGCGGAGCTCAGCATTTCCCCTCAAGATCTTCAGGAGAGGGCTGAGGCTCATCGTCAGCAGTTTATTCAACAGGCCAATAAACGCAAGCTCGGACATTTTAATCCTGGGGACTTGGTTGCTGTGTTCCCGCGCTTGCCTACTACTCAAACTCATGCTGCTAACCGCTGTTTTTGTACTCAAAAAATAGGTCCGTTTGTTGTTTTATCTTACCAGGGGCAAGGTGAATACCATGTGGGCGCTGGACCAGACATCAGGAGGATTCATGCTTGGGAAATGGTGCAGTACAGAGGATTACCTCGGGCTCCAAACCCGGGATTCAAGAAACAGCTGGGCCTCATTCATCAGGCCTCGGGGAAAAACAGCATCGTGGCACCAAGGGATCATTCGTATGCACAGAAGCCAGAGGCAGCACCATTAGAACAGGAGAGGACCATGGCACTTGACCATTTGTATGGCCAACCAGTTCATCATCCAAATACTATGGGTTAGGGGAAAGTCAAAGGGTCCGCGGTGAAGTGTTCGTTTTATTTTAAGCAAAAAGGCAAAGTTCAAAAATCGTGATTTTTCGAGGGGGGGGGGGAGAGTAAGGGCTCCGCCTTACCCACTTATTCAACAGGCCAATAAACGCAAGCTTGGACATTTTAATCCTGGGGACTTGGTTGCTGTGTTCCCGCGCTTGCCTACTAATCAAACTCATGCTGCTAACCGCCGTTTTTGTACTCAAAAAATAGGTCCGTTTGTTCTTTTATCTTACCAGGGGCAAGGTGAATACCATGTGGGCGCTGGACCGGACATCAGGAGGATTCATGCTTGGGAAATGGTGCGGTACAGAGGATTACCTTGGGCTCCAAACCCGGGATTCAAGAAACAGCTGGGCCTCATTCATCAGGCCTCGGGGAAAAACAGCATCGTGGCACCAAGGGATCATTCATATGCACAGAAGCCAGAGGCAGCACCATCAGAACAGGAGAGGACCATGGCACTTGACCATTTGTATGGCCAACCAGTTCATCATCCAAATACTATGGCTTAGGGGAAAGTCAAAGGGTCCGCGGTGAAGCGTTCGTTTTATTTTAAGCAAAAAGGCAAAGTTCAAAAATCGTGATTTTTTGAGGGGGGGGGAGAGTAAGGGCTCCGCCTTACACACAGACGTGACATCTAGTGGGGAACTTGTGTATGCGCGACAATGTGCCCACTCGCAAAGCACTTATCAGGCAGGAGATCTGGGGGAGCATCGGAAGGAGCTGGGGGTTGAGTGATTATTGCGGCAGATTGTTATGAGCTCTTGACTTCTTATCATCTTATTTGTGA